AACTTTTCCACCCCTTGGTTCTTTTCCTCCAGGCTCGATTAAGGTCTGCCTTCAAGCCTGTCACACCGAAAAACTTCAGCTCGATGCAAAACCTCTATCCCTCTTCCAAGTCTGAGGATGTGGACCATGGCCTTTCCAATGGGCTGCATAGGTCTTACGCCCATGTCCCCAAAGCTGTCTCCACCTCCTCCTCCTCTTCCTCACCCTCCCGTCATGGAGCACCAACATCCAGTGGTAACAAGGTATTTCGTTTTTTGATCTTTGTGCATTGATTACAGAAGCAAAACAATAAACTTTTTGTGGACTGAACTGTTATTTGCTCCCTAAATGAATATCTTCTAAACCTATTAATATAACAATGATTAATAACTGTATAATTATGTGTAGGCCATCTCCTCGGTGCGTGGGATTAGCCAGGAGGATGATAATCTGTCAGACTCGGGCCATAACTCCATGAACAGCCTGCCGCCATACCGGCCTCCTTTCCGCCCACACCTGTCTCACATCAGGTTTGCCACTGCTGCATTTCCTTAGCTCTATTTTGTATTCAAAGGAAGTGTTGCTTTGATTTATTTTTGTATTCTTAATGACTGTGTGGGAGGTGATAATGTAAGAGATATTAATGGCCTTTGTGGGTTTCTTCTCCAGCGCATCTATGGGACACATCAACACCATCAGCTCCCTGGACCGCACCTCTCTGGGCCAGAAGGGTGTCGGGCCAGGGGGCGTGGCCATAGGAGAGATGGCCTGTCGGAGCATGGCCACCCTGAGCCGTCTGGCTCCATATGGAGGAGAGGCTCCTCCTCCTTATGAATGGACTCTCTCCCTGTCCGTGGAGGAAGTGGTGAGTACTGCAGAGAAGGGAGAATGGAGGAGCAGGTCGGAATGATTTACAGATGGCTGATTCCTTAATGTTGCCTTTCCAGGTCCGTGATCTGGAGGAGCGGCTGGTGGAGAAAGAGCACGAGCTGAAACAGATGAAGAGAAACCTAGATGAGAGTGAGGGCGCCATCGCCCAGGTGAGTCTGATTGTGTATTGTTCTTTATCATCAATCTATACATCAACCTGCCTGTCTTTTGAAGTCCGACCCCTATCTGGTGTCTACATGCAGGTTTTCGAAGGGAAACAGCGCCTGTGGGAGAAGGAGGTGGACGAGCTGAAACACCTGTATGCTGCCAAGCTGCGCCAGGTTTCCCAGCATGCCCAGCGCTCTCAGCGCACCTTGCAGTTGCAACTGTTTAAGGCCCAGCAGGAGAAGAACCGACTGCAAGAGGAGCTCGACAGCCGGAACAGAGAAAGGAGCCAGGAGGCTGGAGCCATGGTGAAGAGAACCAGTCCCACTCTGGAGGAGACGCAGTGGGAGGTACGGCCTTGGGAGGACAGGGAAGGGGGGGACACTTTATGGCAGAGAGAAGCACTTAGAAAGTAGTGATTACAGGGGACAGTGGATGTTAAAATGAGTACAAACAGGTTTGAAGAGTCAGTAAAATGTGTATTTCTCACTTATTTTCTCTCAGGTTTGCCAGAAGTCAGGGGAGATCTCCCTGCTGAAGCAGCAGCTGAGGGACTCCCAGGCGGAGGTGACCCAGAAGCTGAGTGAGATCTTCCAGCTGAAGACGCAGCTCAGGGAGACGCGCACAGATCTGCGCAACAAAGAGGGCCAGATGGATGCACTGAAGCTGGTCCTGCAGGGGACGCAGCGTCGCAGGTGCTCCTCTCAGCCTGCACATGAGGACGGAAAAGGAGCGGAGGAGAATCCTTCAGCTGGGGCAACAGGTAGATTTATGATTCTGTCTCTTAGTTGTGTGTCGTATGGCAATGTTTGAACTCTCTTTGATGGTTCGTAGGAATACAACTCACTTGAGTCATAGCACAAGCACAGATAAGAGTTAAGTTAATTTGTTGACAAAGCAAGTCCTCCCAAAAGACTTTACAAAAACATAATTGTATTTTCACAACCTGTCAACCTCAGAACAAAACCAAAATAATAAGTATTTCAAACCTGCTAAAGCCTGCAGATGCCAAGTTGAAGCAAGATAATTATATGTCACGGATGCCTGTTTTATATCAGCGATTAAGGCATTAAAGCTGTGTTTCTTATCAACACAGCTTTAAGTTGTCTGAGTTATTTTAGATTCATGAAGTCTACATACTTGGAGCCAAAATCTGGTTATTTGACTAACCAGGTCAGGAGCAGCCCATTTAAAAGCAGCCCGTGTATTTTTATTATATTCCCCCTACGGCTCTGTTGGCCTGTAGTTGAAGCCATGTGAACCTCTTGCTTGCAGGAGTCTGCGGGGGCCCCACGGAGGAGCGTCTGCGCGCAGAGCTCCTGCTGGAGAGACGCCAGAGCGAGGGCCAGGCCATGGCTTTCGAAGAAGAGAGGCAGACATGGCAGACAGAAAAGGACAAGGTCATCCGCTACCAGAAGGAGCTGCAGGCCAGCTACTTGGAGATGTACTACCGCAACGAAGCGCTGGAGAAGGAGCTGCACCAGCTGAGGGCAGGCAGAGAGCAAGAGGGAGCAGAGGGAGCAGGAGGAGCAGGAGGAGGGAGCAGAAATGGGACACTGGAAAGAGAAGTGCCAGAGCTGAGGAGTGAGAGAGAGGCTGAAAAACAAGACGACAGACCTTCCTCTGGTTTGCCGTGGATAGACAGAATTGAATCATCTGAAATTTGAATGTGCCAGACTAACCGGTATTTGCAATGCAAACTGTTTTCTCCCTGAAGTGTGGTTTCTACAGGAGTCCATGTGCCAGCCAGGAAAAGGGAAAATAAATGGAGTTAACCAAATTGTGAGGAAAGTAAACCTTTTTTACTCACTAAGCAAACATTTGATGGAATTCATTTTGACAGGCATCTATATGTTTAAAGATTCCTAGTTAGTAAATGGCTAGATTTAATAACTAGTTTAAATGCTTTATTCAAATCATTTTTTCAACTAAATGATGCGGTCCAAGCTCAAATTCTTGATTTACTATTTAAAGTATTTCAAAATGTCAATTTGTTGATACATTAACTCAGGTCTAAGATAATAATATATCAAAGGTCTGACTTAATATCTCATCAATCTGACTTTGTTGATGATTTTAAATGTAATCATACATTTCTTTTTATATTCTCTTCTTCTTTTCCTGGCAAAAATGGGCTTCCATAGTTTCCGGTCTGTTGGCCATTCTATGCTTATTAATCCTTGTTGGTTTTAATAAAGCCCTAATCCTGTAAAGACTGAACCAAAAATCTCCAACAGAGCGCACTAAAGCCGGGGGTCGCTGCACAGACATATTGTAATCTGTCCTAGCAGAGGATTGGTGTCAATTTTGTAAAAAGAACACAGCCTGCTATCCAACAACAAACCTGTAAATGAGCAAATTGATATCCTGTTTGTTATGTTCATTTGGAAATTACATTTTGGTTTGGACTGCTGTATAGTCTAGTCAGTAACAAAAGGATTCAAAGGGATTTAGTTTGGCCCGGTAACATTTCAGCAGCACATGTTAAGTATCAAGGATTAAAGTGATCTAGTGGAACGTTGAACTTTTTCTCATTCACCTTCCAGCTCCTGTCAGGTGAGTTCTATATATTTTGTACATAATGCAATTTGTTTTGGCCTTTTTTCATTGTATTTCCAGCACACTGCTGTCTTAAATGGGCACATTTTCACATCTTCTTTTGATTGCAATGAAAGCGATCAACAGATAAGGAAGCTGAACACGACTGCCCTGCTTGGTGCCATTTGTTGCACATCCCCAGCCAATAACAATTAAAATGCATGACACAGGTGACGTTGTTCTCTTGTATTGTTTATTATTCATTTATGAACATTCAAAAGCCAGCTGTCAACCGACCTTTCAACATACTGTGACTCTTGTCTATTTACTGGAATTAAAACTGTACAGTATAAATGTATATGTTTGTTTTTGGATTCATAATAAACATGTATGAAGTGTTAAATGTGGCATTTGTGTAAATTATGGCTGCAAAGTGGTTTTCTGTCTACCGTTGTCTAAATGAAACTCACCAGAAATCGCTTGTCAAAATGTTAGTGGTGTAAGTGATGGTATTCTCCCGAGGGCTCAGACGCCTGCCTGCTCCGAGGGGCTTAACATCTCCAGAGAGCGTGCCAATAAAACCCAAGGACAGGAGCTTTATGACAGAATGAACAACAAAGCGGCGGAGGCTTTTGGGACTAATGTGGCTTTTAGAGGTTGAGCCTTGAATCCTTATCTCAGGCCTCTCCCCTAGGTCCTCCCTGTTCTCCCCCAGCCAGCCCTCACATACCATCTCCTGCAGGACAGAGAGAGAGAGTTAGCAGAGATGGAAATATAGGAGGATCTGTTTGCTTAAGAAAATAAGCACTACTATGGAAACTATCAAATGTGCAAACTAGAACAGGGGCCTAAGGATATCTTGGCAGAGATGAAAGCTTAACACTTAAATCCATGTTTATGGCTTTACATAAGTGAGTTTATAAATACAATTATAGGAAAAGTAAGAGATAGCACATGTGAGTCCATAATGCTGGTTGTTTTTTTCACAGGGTCATTATCTGAATAGCTATGAGCTGTGGCTGACTCACAAGGCCCTTACTTTGGCATTTAAATTATTATATAAACTGGGGCTTAATATAACTGCACATCTCCGAGTGGTTTACTGAAGTGGGATGATAAAGGATTCTTACCTCATGTTATCACTGTAGGAGGGTTGCAGTGCTGAATGCCATCAGTGCTGTTTATCTGATGAAATCACCTTATTGTGGAACATTAGTGTATCATTTCTGAAGGGGAAGATGGTTCCTGGTTGTGAAGCAGGATCAAATGAAAACCACTAGATTTGATAGAATTAAAGGGTTTATAGTCTGAGTACGGATAATACAGCAAGAGCGCCACCAAGTGGGGATGACCGGAGGGCCGAGCAGCTGTAAAACCATAAAGAAAAATGGTCAGTGAGTCATAGTGTGGGACCATCACCAAATGCCAAAGTCACACACCTCCAAATGTGACTTGGAGTATAAATTTTTATTTTCATTTCAGATGCAAGTATATGAAACATGTTAGAGGATAAATATTTACAATAAAAGGTGCATAACACACAAAAGCAGGAAATGCAAACATTCAACAAAATTAATACGACAGGGGTACGGAGCGCTAGCAGTCTATCTGAAGGAACACTCGAAGAAGCTATGAATGATTGTCAACCAAAGAAAAAAAGACGAAATTCAGTGAAAATCCACACAACACATGTGCTCTAACCCTTTTCCAAATAAAAACCAAAGGCATTTATATTAAACTCTGAATGAGTGTAATGTTGCGTTGTCAGTGTGAGTTATGCTGGTGCGATGCAAAACTAATTAGCCTCACTTTAATGTGAGTTGACATTACCATTTTTCAAGAGGACACGGGGAACTTGCACTATTAGTATTGATCATCTAAAACAAACTGTATTGTACATCCAAATGCCTTGGACCTTGTGACACACTTTCTCCCCCCCCCCCCCACAGCTGAATAATATATACAAACTCCAACATCACCCAAACTATCAGCCCCACCAGTGAAATGTGTCATCTTTGTTCAAGACTCCTTATATTAATGTACAACTTTAATACTAACTGCAAGGTGTGGTATGAATCGAACTTAAGTCAATGCAGCTGCAGTGTTTATTTCAAAAAGTGTGGTATGAACTGTTACAATGAGCCCTGAGGAAATGCATTGATTTGAAGGTTTTTCTATTCTGACTCCATCTGAAATAAAAGCTACGCAGCAGAGGCATTTTCTAAGTATATATTAAACAACAGCCACAATGATCAGAGGACTTCTTCCCCACCCACGACGAGTAAAGCTGAATCACAAGCCTACAGTCACTGCAAGTCAGACCATACGGCTACCGTCACACCATTTTACATCTCCAAATCACATGGCTTGCAAGCTTAGGATACACAATGTGGGGCAGAGTGAGGCGATGGCACAACAGGATGTGAACTGTAGAGTCGCTAGTTCTGAGAGTTACGCAGTAGTGTTGATTATGCATGTTGCTGTTCAGTTTAATTTACTATTTTACATGAGCCGTTGTGGCGGTTGCAATGAAAAATAGAAACAAAGCACATTTCACAGTAGTATATATTTTTGTTTCCTTTTTGTCACTGTTTGTTAAATACATACATAGAACAAGACACATGGCTTCTACAATGAGGAAAATCTTGCTGGTGCCGTAAGTCGCAAACAAAAGAAAAAGAAAGCTGTTCCACCTTTGATGAGTTAAATGTTTTACTGATCAAACGGAAACATCAGCTCAAAGTGACATTGAAGCTAAGTGAGGCCTTTATTACATTATGGAGGATTAATGGGTCACAATCCAGAGTTCCATTCATGAGAGACCTCCACCAGCAAATAATATTCCTTCAACTCGGTTTGTTTTCCTGCCTTTCTTCCTCATGTATAATAACGTTAATTATCCTTCTGAAATCAGAAACTGCCTATCTATACCATTTACCCACACATTCATTATCATTCAACTGCTTCAGTCACAAAAAAAGGAGAAAGAAAAAAAGAAGCAGTCATCCAACTCAAACGGTCGATAAAGCTGAAAAAACAAACACTATAAAGCATTACATACTTTAAAAAGATAAGCCTATAACTCTGCAGGCATTTGCAAATGAGTTTCAATGAATGAACCTTTTCCAGAAGTGCTTCTTCGTGAGGATGTTCTCATTACTGACAGACTCCTCACTTTACTACCGGTTGTAGACGGACCATCCCCGCTGGACTCTGTATACTACGCAAAGTTGAAGGGTCCGAGGTGGGTTACGGGGGTCCAAGGCTGTCCAGAGGAGCACTGGGATAAAACCTTAATGCTTACAATAACAGGCCGAGAGGCCAGGGACAGAGGGAAAAAGGGCCAGAGCAAATGGTCCTGGAAATGCAAAGAGCTCCAGGGAACGTCATCCTTACTCGTGAAGAAAGTGTGCGCTATCAAAAGTAGATCTGCTTGGCATGTGAAGGGTTCTGCTCCATGGGGCAGTACGGACATTTCAACCTGAGGAAGAGAAACGGGAACAGGATGTTACAGTGTGTGGTTTGTTAAAAAGGATGATACTTCTTGTGTACTCTGATAAACACAAATCTAGTACACGTATCTGACCATTTTCAGTAATGAACAATTCGTTTTTGGATTGATAATCTAATTTAAAGAAAGCCATTGGTTTCCATTCATGTCACCACAGTATGTCAGGCTAAAAAAATAGTTTGCTTTTTTTCAGAGCCCCCACTGTTTTAACTGCAAAAAAATACAAGTAATCGTTCATGTTCGCTTTTCAGTTATAATATGATTTTCAGATATAATAGAAAAATAGCTCTCAATATCAATGCAATATCTATAGCAACAGTGCTTGTATGTTTTCCACTGGTTGATGACTTTAATTTATTCAGCACAAATAAGCATGTCAAATTAGTGAAATGCTTTGTTCAAAGATAATACTGTTCTGTTCCGATTTGATGTGAAGTGTCTTTAAGCATTAGGAAAAGCACTATACAAATCTCATGTATTATAATACATCACACATATCAAACAACCAGGCTGTATTGCTGACTTACTTCCCAGCGTTAGTCAGTTTGTTGAGGGCATCTCTGGAGATGACGTGGCCGCAGATGAGCTTCATGGGGGGGTTGCTTTCTGAGGTCTGCTGCCTGAGGATTGGGCAGGCGAACACAGAGTGGTACCAGCACTTCTTCCCCAGGTCAATTTCAATCTAAGGGAGCAGATAGGTGTGATCAGTTGAAAGGTGAATAAGAATGAAAAGGAGCAATAGATGCTCTTTAGAAATTCAGAGGGACTTACAGGCAGCTCATCTTTGTGCGTCCAGACTCCACTGCACTGTCTCTGCTCTATCACCTGCTTGATGTTCATCAGCACAGGCAAGGCCATACAGCCTGATGCAAAACTGCAGAGAAACAGACATGGCGGAGATTAATAAGTCTGACTGTGTTTGAAATCTTTTAATATCAATTTTGGTGAGTTTGTGTGTGTTGTTCATGGTTTTCTGACCTAACACTGAGAGGAGACTCTACAGAGAGGCCCAGTAAAGAGCAGGCATCCCTGGTGAAGATGTTACAGATCTCGGCCCACTGATTGGTCTCCAGCAGGCTGCGGTACGGAGAGTTATCAATGCCATGACGCAGGTACACCAGGCTGCCCATCAGGATCTGTATATCTGCAGGGACCAAAAGAACATGTGTGATAAACAATCAAATCAAAGTTTAAAAGAGAATTGTGTGATAAGACTCAGAGAAATCATATATATGCCTGAAGGTGAAGATGGGACTCTTCCTAAAAGAGTCAGAGACACAAATAATTTAAATCTTAGAAAAGGGACATATCATCAGAAACACAGTTTTGCATTCAACCCTAAAAACTGTGAAATTAGACAATTTGTTCATTTTTTTGTGAGCAGCTTCTTTTTGAAAAATGTTAGATTAAACAAGCTCAAATTTGGCGCCACTGCCTATGTCACATGCAGGCTCATTACAATATAGCACCCCCCAACTGAATTCCTCCAACAGCGGCTTGAGAACTACATTTGCAATTACCCTTGCAAGCAAATCAGAGCAGGTGCAAAAACTTTATTAAAAAAATTATGAAGTGTTTTTTTTTACATTAAAAGCATGTTAACATAATATGTCCCTTTTAAAAAAAACTGTGAAATACAAATCAAGTTGAGCATCGTTGTGCGTTTTTGCCAGGAATGTCACAACGATGATTGAGCAGATCAGCTAAACGAGCAGCATTAGATGCCGAGGCATGCTGTGTACCTCTCTGGTGCTGGGAGGCGAAGGGCTGGAAGTGCCGAGCATACTGCAGGGCCTCCATTTGGTTGCCTATTCCTCCACTGAGCAGGCTGATGAAGTACAGGCGGTGCAGCTTGAACTCTAGACTGCTGTTCAGGTCCAGGAGACGCTGCCGATTCGTCACGGCCCACCTAAAGAGGCACAGACATAGGTAAGAACAGTCAACTATGTTAGGTATATATAGATATATAGAATGAACAGCTCTTGGAAATGGTGTTCTTGCAATATTATTATAATCATTACATCAGTGTGGTAAAATAGTCTTAAAATGACAACAATATCAATAATCCTATGTATTTCTATGGCAATATATTGTGCAACAAAAGTAGGTAACCTGACAGGCCTAGATGACAGAGAACAAAATGAAAAGAAAAACGAAAACATACTCCAGTGCCGGCCTGAGGTCCTGCATCCTTAGAGCCTCAAGGATTCTGTTCAGCTCCAGGAAAGGCTGCTTCATACTCATATCTATAACTACACCAGACTCCTAGAAACAGACAAGGGTAAATGTGACTTATCAAGAATTGTTACATTTATTATCCAGCCACAAATCAAGGATTAAAGTACATTTGAAGCCTTATGGTTTTTCTTAAATTAAATTGTATTCAGGCTGTGTTTACATAAAACATGTTGAAGGCACTCGGCACCTACCTGGCAAAGATCCTCTGCTACACTCAGCATCCCTTGTCTGTACAGGTGCTCCACAATCGTCTCACTCAGGTATTTCTGTCTCTCAGGGGTGTCCCACACCGTCTCTGCCACCACAGCACTGATCTCTGCATCAAAATTCTGCAGAGAACAATATAAAAAAGTAAGTACATGCTTAAGAAATCAAATAAAACGTTAAAGAAAGGTGCTACCTGTCCTTACCCTGTCAATGGCTTTGCCCACTTTTGACACACTGCCATGGATATCCTTATGTCGCGATGCTAGCATCTGCACTGTTTCTTTGATATTCTTACAACACTGTGCCATAGTCTGAGATAGGACTGATAGGTCTGCATCTTGTACTCCTGCAAAAGAGAAAAAGGAAAAGTCTCAACTCTGCATGTCGATAACAATAGAGCTTGGAAAAAGCATCACTATTAAAGCACTATTTTCATCCATATATAAAGATATTAAAACAGGTATGATAAGATTACTATGTTAGACTTAAATATTAAATAGTATCGCTTTGTGGTGTTCAGTCACCTTGTGCTCATCAGTTTTACTTACCAAAAGCAACTAGTTGTCCTCGTATCTCACACACGCTGCGCAGGAGCTCGTCTAGCCTCTCCTCCGACTGGTGGCCGTACATCACGAAGCGATGAAGCACTTTCTCCAGCTCCCGCTCAACACACGCACACTGTTCCATGATTCAGACTGGAACACTCACACACACAACGACACCTAGATTTAAAAGAAAAAAACAGGTCAACGGCAAAGAACAGGTCAAGCCAGTTAACTAGTTATTTAGCCTTCTTAGAACTGATTTCTTTTTAGGCAAGTACCAGTCCAGATATGAGAACATTTGATAACATTTACATAAATAAAAAAGAAAAAAAAGAATACTAATTTTGTAAAGCCCAAGTCTAAATAAAAATATTTCTAAAGCATGTTTTTAAAGAATTGTGACCAAGACACCAGGGCGTGACCCTTTAATGATGAGAAACAATCTTGTCAGTCCACAGTTTTGGCAACAATGTTTTTTAAACTAGCTCAACAGACATGACAATGGTGAAAGAATAGCCCAGCTGATGTATTTGTCAAGCTCAAATAATGAATGTTGCTGTTGTTGCTGCAGTTGAATCAATCTTAAAGAAAATCCTGCCAAAAATTCAATGTCACAAACCAGTTGCCTGTAGTATTTGACAGACCTGATCATACTGACAACACCATGATTTTCTCACAGCTGTCTCTTGACACTAAAAGGTTTTAAATAGAAATTCGACAGTTGGTAGGCACTAGATATTATTTATTATCAGGAGATAGATGCGAATCGTCCCAATACTGCCCTCATTAAAAGTGTGGCCTGGTATAACTCTGCTAACAACTAGCAAGGCCTTAAACATGTTAAATACAGGCACACTGTGTACTCTGCGGCCTGGTGTTTACTAACGTCAGTCACCAGCGTCTCAACCCCACAAAAGTGTCTTTTAATCCTATAAAGACAGTGTTTATCAGCCATTACTTTTGGGAATCTCGTCTGCATTCAGATAGATTTACCTTCTTATTAGAGAAAATCCCCGATAGGTGTAGCTTTGCTGTAGCTCACCGTTTATAAGCTGAATATAGAAAATGTCCACCTAGCAGTTCACGTCATAGAGCTAACCAACATAAACGCAAGTTATATTTCCTATTTTAATTCCAACATAACATTTCACATTTGTAATACTCACTAACAATGATTTACGCAAAGTGTCACACGTTTCCAACCAAGTATTTTGATGAGATGCGGTAAATAAGAAAAGAAGGCTGCCGCAGAGCTAACATAAACAAACGGTGGCTGGCTAGCTAAAAAAGCTCGCCATTGCTAGCAGCTAAACAGCTAGTTGATGCTAGCCCGCTGCTGACTGACAAGGCCCAACTTATTTCAGGAGAGAATGACAACCCGCTTGTCTACAACATTGTGTACTATCCGATCTCTTAAAACATCTACCGCCTTTGAACAAAATGATATGATGTGCCTGAATAAAAGCCACTCACCTATCCTGCTAATTAGTTAGCAAACATTAGCGTTAGCCACTTGCCTGTTATGGCAACACTTCACCAGCAGTTGTAAATGCGGATCTTCCTGTGTCGCATTCTGCCTAAACTGGACATTTCACAATAAAAGTCCTTTTCTCTGCGACATCAAACAAACCGTAGCGTACAAAAATGAGTTTCACTCATGTTTCACTATATGATTTTCCTCTTGCACATCAAGCTGTCACAACTAATACTTTCAAGGTCTGCAGAGAAAGGAGTTTATGCATCATCACGTAACGTATTTCATTTGAATGTTATAGCTGGTCACAGTAGCTCTAATTTGAAATATGAGTTAATGGTAGCAATGCATTATATTTTTCAATCATATGTTATGTATCTAAAATCTTCATCCACAAAAATAACCTGTAAGCCGTATCTGATTTTATTTTATTCTATCTGATAGTATACCAGCTCCACAAATCATGTAAAACCCAGATTTGGCACAAAAAAGGGGGAATACACGTTTCGCAATTATGCCACATCAAGGTGGAACGCTCTTCTCACAACTGTAAAGGAAAGTAAAACTATACTTACCTTCAAAACCTCTCTTAAAGAGCACCTTAGGGGGAGAGCATTGCAAAACTGGCCCCGGTAATGGTACAAATCTCAACCTGTCGTACAATGGACAGCTTCCCCCCCCATCTATGTATATACTCGCATTTTAGACTCTGTTACTAACTGTATATCTGTAGACTTGGTATGTCTTAAATGTCCGGTTAGGATGTATTAGAACGAAATCTAAAATGAAAATTGTAAATAAGCCATCTGTATGTAAAAAACCACCTGTCTGTAAATTGTAAATAAGCCATCTGTATGTCAAATATGTCTTATATGTCTTAAATGATATGATGAATTGGAAATGGGGGACCCTGATGTAAACAAGACGAAAGTCTTTCTCTGGTCTGCATCCCCTTAACAATTGTATGTTTTGAGCTGTACTGTACTGTACCCAATATACAAGCTGTTAATAAACTTTTCAATCAATTCAATCAATCAAACCACGAGTACTTTGTGCTTATCACGAATGTGATAAGATGTAAACATCATTTTTTTCATTATAGATGAATCTGCTCCTCGTTTTTTCGATCAATTATGTACAAAGTGAGAAATTCCCTTACAGTTGGTGTCACCCTCAAATATATTATTATGTGTCCAAATCTCATAATTATCCATGTTGCTTATCATTTTAGATAGGAAGTAAAATCAAGTGTCATACCACCACTGAATATTAGCGGCTTGTATAGAGCTTGACCTTAACTAACTAGGTCAGTTTAAAAAAGACAGATTTGAAATGTGATCTTGTGTTTACATTCTTACTGTCATTAATACTAGCACCTAAATTATAATAATCATGAGACTGAACCTTTGTTTAGTATCATATCCTAGAGATAGAACACAACCGGGAAAAGTAGCATGAATGAATTTAGAAATGAAGTCAGTTGTATTTATCTTTCAACAGGATTTGCTGTACCAGACTGCATTTGAGATTTGCTCAATATGTGGATTAACATCAACCTCTCCCCAGCCAATCCCCCTTCATTTAGAAGCTTCTTGTAAAATTGCTTATAGATACCCACACATCATATTGTTTAGGCATTGCTTAATAGTGTGTTGCATTGCTGAGGGTGGGTAAGGTCTTTGGACTTGAGTGGGCTGGTGTGACTAATCTATCAGTGATGTAGACTAAAGCTCCCATAACTGAGGTGCTCATCATTCTTTCCCTCTGAGTCCTCCTGCGGTCTACAGTGCTGCCATAACCTCAGAGTTTCAATTATATCAACACTTCAATGCACTCTAGATCACACTATCTCACTCCCACCACTCACATGTTGCCTGGTGTCCTCTCTAACCTTTAAAAACATTATTGTTCTGAACGATCAAGTTTTACACATTCACTCTGTGTCATTCCAGTAATATCTGTTTTTGTATGACACATAATGAAATAGTGTATGCCAGTTTACTGTATGAGATGTAATCATATCCAACCTCTTTTTAGTGCCTGTGAAGAGTTCAGAGGGATCATGATTCATGTTTGTCATGCCATTAGAGCCTCTAATGAAATATGAAATAATTTACAGGATATACCTGTAAGGTAATCTAGAGTCTATAAACATTAGTCTATTAAAAATAATAGAGTTCATACAAAATTAATGATGCAAAAAAAGATATATAGCGGTTGCAAAGCTCTATGAGTAGAGTAAACTCCATGGTCAGGGACTCAGTGATTATTTTGGCTATAGGAACATTAATGATGTGTACAAAAGATATAATGGACCCTCATTCTAAGTTTTATGCAATATTTAGTCAGGGAGGATGTAATTAAAGGTTTTCCATTGGCTTGCCCTGAATGACTTAATGACTGAGAATGAATGGTATAATCTCATGATGAATTAGGTTAGGGACAGAAGGCTTATCAAAACTCCCTACATACACAGACACCCAGACTGTTGCTAAGAAGGTATGAGTTCTGTAGCAATGAGTACAGTAGAATAACATGATCCCCTTTGATCAAATATTTGGTAGTGAGTGACAGAAAAGCTTTACAGTGAGCCTGAAACTTACATTTTAATTGGCTGAAGTGATTCCTGGAACATAAAAATCCAGATATGAAAAGGAAAAACATGAACTACATCATTGTGAGAGTACCTTAACAAGTGTTGTTGCACAGGAGTTCTGCATGTGAGCTGTCAAAGTTGGGTGGTCTATGTTAACCTTTGACCTGTTGTACCCCAGCTACACATTACAGTACTATTCACACACACACGCACACACAGAGACACACAAAAACATAAAACATTAAAAACACCTTCAATTGTAAGCATAATCTCATAAGCAGAGGTTATGTGGACATTGTGTGGGCTGTACTTCGAGGTTTGTTTTCCCCCTTTCTTTCCCCTCCAGCATTCCCAGGCTGAAGCTATGGCTATCTGGCCCTGATAGTATGGGTTTATATATAGAGGAGCCCTGTGACTGATCTGGCTGTAAGTGTCAGATTCCAGGCACACTCATCCGTCCTGGCTGGATCAGCACCTGCTGCTAACTATAAACCCACCCACCCCCAGCGCCGCCCCCTAGCCCAGATCACACAGGAAAGCCAATGTCCAACCAAACCCCAGCTTGGAAAAGAAAAAAGATCCAGGTTGGACACTGTAAAAAATGTCCCCGAGGCCAGCTAAGAGGGGACAGGGGAGGGGCAGAAATAGAGATGGAAGCATTAGAGGATGTAATGGGTCTGAGCGAGATGCCCCTCTTTGCTTTTTCTATTCAAGTCTGATGGCAGTGTCTTTTACATTCTGAGCTTGTCTAGCCAGGGTGGCTCTGCCAGACTGGACTGTACGAGCCGCTCTGTCCTGGATTCACCATGTGCACAGTGGTCTCGTAAACGTGGAATGTGATTTTGATTTTGAGAGAGGGTTTTGTGGATGAGGGGCAGATATTGCAACACAGAGGAACTCCATGCCCTCGGGAAAGCCTAATCACTGGCCAAGGTACAGTACCAATCATTTCGTCTTTCTCCCCTTGCATGCGGAGCATTCAGTCCTACACAAAGCCATGTGAAGAGTTTAGAGAAAGGGCATGTATTTGGCAGAGCTAATTTTCTACTTACTGTATGTGGAAAAATGTAATTCAAAAAAAGTTTCACATCAAATATAATGTATTGATGAAATCTTGTTAATGTTTAAGCACATGTAAAGATACACATACTTTCTGGTATTAACTGAATGTTTTGGAAAACTTAAAGCGAGTTTTTGTATTGTGTTGTTGTGATCATTTCAATAGTGCTTTTAAGGGCATCGTGACAGTGTTATATTTTTGTCCTGATCCCCTTTTGGAAGTTTGAAATGCTCTGTAATATTCTCAGAACATTTATTTATTCATTATTTAATCTAAATGTGCTGTTTGCAAGGTAACAAACAGGAGAAATGCACAGTTTAGTCTCTATATTTCCTATAAATAGGCTTTTGCCACTCATTGATTTTCAACAGTGTAACTGGTGATATAAATGAATGAGCTACACACCCTCCAGGTTACCATATCTTATTTCCAGTCCAGGAACAGAGCCCAGAGCAGGCAAGAGGAGCAAACTGGACTGGCCACAGTGAGAATTTGGAGTTTGTGGACGAGCAATGGACAGCTGGACTCTACAGGGGGACAGCTACTCCTTCCTGCGCAGTGCACCCCATCGTAACTTTTCCCTGTGTCATCGTGACGGCACCCCAAACCACGTTGAAATCTTTGACATCATCAACGTCCCTCAGCGCAGTGCCATTTCAGAGACAACCTGCCTTTGTGACATATTTGGAGACGACTGTGAGTCAGCCTCCCTCTCAAGCAGCCCTGCTGCAGGAGCTTTTATCATTTCCCAAAGGGAGGTGGACGGGACAGCTGCTGCATCACCTCTGGTGGATGATCTGAACGACTCAGGCTCCTACCACACTGCACCGGGCTCTAGTGAAGGAGAGGAGGGCTTTGAAGATTCAAGAGAAAGGTTTAACAGCCCCTTGTTGCAGGGCGAGTCTTCAGAGAGCAGGCAGTTCGAGGGCCAGAAAATAAGCTCAGGACATTCAGACGTTTCGGAGAAAAGTGGCCCAAATTTTGAAACAGAAAGCAAATCTCCAGCACTTCAGCTTGGTACAGATTGCCCATTACCTGAAGTCCTAAATAGTGGTGAGAGGACCCCCTCTTCTGGACAAAACAGCCCCTATACCCTCAGTACAGAAGGACGAGCATTATCCTTGTCTTCTTCCCCAGTTGAAAAGAGATGTTCACCCTCCTCCCCTGGTGCTAGAGAATCTGAACCAAGGACAACCACTCCAACTGTCAAAGATAGACATAACAGTCCCTCCTCTGAACCTCTGAACTGTGTCAGCTCTTCCCCCTCTGAATCAGTGAACACACAACCGTTAACTGAGTTGAGAGCAGCACAAGGCTCTCCAGAGTCAAGGAATATTTACTATAATCAACACAGCAGTCCCTCACCTGAGCCCACATCCAAAGATTCTTTTCAAGATTTGACAGAATCTGCTTTTGAAACTCGAGCCACGCTTTCATCTCCTTTACATTCATCCAGTAGTAGAGAGTTATTATCCCAGTCTAGAGAAACACTGGCCTCTCCTGAGCTGAATAATAGACCCTACTCCCCTGAGACTCGAGCCTCATCACCTTTTTCTGAGCTAAGAGGGAGGGTATCCCTGCCTGATCTCCTCAGCAGAGGCTCCACACCCGATATTGAAGAATCTCCCTACACCCCTGAGCTGATCTCAGATCCTTCTCCTCCAGAAAGAGACACTGTGACTACTCCTGAGAGCCAAGATACAAAGTTTACTCCTGAAATTGTAAGTACTGTGTCTACACCTGGCCCACAATACACACCGCCATCACCTGTCATTTCAATATCAACATCTCCTGAAATTGTGGAGAACAGTGTCTCACCTGAATTAAGACACATAGCTCCCTCTCCTGGACTGCTCAGTGTAGCTTCTTCTGGGACAAGAACTCCGTCTCCCAGCCTCTCACATAAAATAGAGCACATTTCAACACATTCTGAAAGCAGTACCCAGGTGTCTTCACCTGTGGTAAGTCACAGTTTATCTCCTTCACCGGAAGTTAAAAGCAACAACTCTCCCATTGAGCACAGAGACACTGCTCCTTCACCTGAAATCAGGATTACAGCATCCTCACCTGAGGTCAGTAGGAGAGAGTGGCCTTCTGAGGCGGAGACAACATTTACGTCTCCTTTCCTAGAGCTTCACCCTGACTCAGCCTCACCAACAAGTGGCACTTCGTCCCCTCATATCACAGGGATTTCTTACTCTGTTGTCCAGCCAGAGGACAGGGACACTTCCCCATTTGCTGAACTCTTTGGCCTCTCCACCCCTGAGCCTGATAGGACACTTGAGTACCCTGAAGTAAAGAGCCCTACCCCAAGCAGAGACAGTATTCAGAGCAGTATAGCAGAGTCCACTGGTACACCAAGAGGCTCCCCTCACAAATTGGCCCTCACAAACTCTGTCCTGCAGCCTGAAAAAACGTTGTCAAACCAACCCAGGTATCTTACACCTTCACCTCAGCCAAAACATCACACTCCCTCCCCTGAGCCAAGATATCCTACTGCTTCATCGGACAAGTCTCAAAGTCCCTCATCTCAGCATAGGAGTAGAGATCCATCACCTGTTGTCCTATCTCCTGAGCATTCACCAGCAACCCTCTCCACTGGGTGCAGCCCTCACTACACACTACCTACTCCTCCTCTAAGAAATACACCTGAGGTTGAGGAGAATAACACATCGGTTGATATTATAACACAATATCCCACACATTTGGAAAACAAGAGTGTGTCACCCTTATTTGAATTAGAAAGGGGAGACATATCAGTTGTAGCTGAAATCAAGAGCAGTTCGCCAGTGCAGTCAACTTTATCCCCTTCACCTTTCTTAGCTGAGGAAAAGGTAGACAGTTCACTGAAAAAACAAAGCACTGAGAGAGAGGCAACACCAAAAGAAGATAACCTTCAGGAAAACTCAGGTTTAGCTTATTTTCCTGAGGAAAAACTAACCATTAGCCCCAGCTTAGAAAGAAAGAAAGAAGTCACTTTTATCAATCCCCCCACTGAAATCAAGTGTCCCTCCCCTAATCTTCTAGTCTCTAAAGTTGGGAGTCCAAGTATTCCCCTTGTCTACAGGGCTTCATCCAACTCAGAGGAAAACTCACAGCCTCAATTCAATACTTATTCCCCAACTTCTGAAAGCAGCTGCTCAATAAAATCATCTTGTACACCTGAGCCTGCGAGAAGAGGGCTGTCAACCAAAGTTGGACGTGAAAACAGAGAGAGGATAACAGAGGACATGGCCCACCATGTAAACAGAAGGCGGACTCCATCTCCGCCAATTACCAGGTTTACACCTGTCCATATTATAGCCCCTGAGAAACCATACAGACAGTGGCAGAACAGAAGCCATAGCCCCTCTCAGGCTGTAGCATCTTCACCAAGTGGTCATTTAAAGAAAGCGGTGACAAATAGGGAAAGCCCCAATACTGCCCATGTTGACAATAATAGCCAGGCTCACTGGGTCAGGCAAGGAAGGCAATTGGAGATGGAGAGGGAGAGGGAAATGCAGCTGGAGGACGATAGGGACTTAGAAAGGGAGAGGCAAATGGATAGAGAGAGGAAAAAGAGGGAGGAGCTGGTTCCTGAAAAGGGGAAGGGTTGGCAGGGGGACGCCAGTTACAGAGGGGAACAGGTTGAGCTGTCATTCAATGCCAGGAATAGAAAAGGGCCTGCGAGTCGCAGCGCAGCTCCCACAAGCAGAGAGACTCGCCAGGGACTGCCAACAGTGCATTCCTATTCAGAGAGCTTGCTTGCCACCAGACAGCTACAGCAACAACAGAGTCTGCTCAGACTTGCCTCCCAACAAGACACCAGGGGTGGTGGTACCAGCAGACGCCTTCAACCTTCAGCACCCCACAACAAGAACAGTGTTCCAGGACGCAGGGCTGCAAACAGGCCCGGACGTAGTTCCAGCTCCAGTATGGGAAGTGAGCTTGATGATGCAGACAATGAGGTGAAGTGGATTTCAGACTTGGCTTTCAGCAGCCTGTCAAGCTCTGAGATGGATTACCTTGACATGTACAACTCTAGCCACCGTTCATCCACCAACATTTCTCAACCGTCCACACAGGAGAGCCCAGCTGGGGTCAATTCCTCCTGGCCGGCATATGCTGACTTCAGGGGTTCTGCTCCCAAGCTGGACAACGAAGAACTCTTTCTGCAACAACCATCTGCATACTACACAGAGGGCCTCAATCAGTCAAGGCACTCTGAGATGGGTAACTATGAGTGCGTAGATGTGGCCGTGGAAAGACAGGACTCCAGGAGGGTGAGAAGGGGAGTGCCAAAGAGACAGATCCAGCTGAAGAAAAGGAATCATGCAGAAGGGAAGCAGGATGAGAGCAGTGAAAATAGCAGTCCTGTGTTACCAGGGATGGTGGAAAGCCCCTCTCTAGAGGGTCATTCCAGAGAGACATTCATTAGACAACACAGTACACCAGCAGCAATGCAAGAATGCTACCCTTCTGAGCCAAGCCCTGAGCCCACTCAACAAAATGACAGAAGATCCAAACTCAAGAAATCTGCGTCTCTGGATGAAACATTCACCAAAACCAAGATAGCCACTTGTCTTATCAAAAGTGTGTTATCCAAGAAGATGCAGAGTGTTGAGAGACATTCTGATGAGCAGGCAGGAGAAGAAGAAAGCCCTGCTTTTGAGGTAAATAACCCAGCAACAGAATGTGCAGTGGCACCACTCAAAGAGTCCCCAAAACCTAATCTGAGTTCCAGTCTTCAATCAGAGTATATATCTGAGGGTCCTCCTGTGAGAAGAGAACCAAACAATGAGGATAGAGCTAAACCAACACAAAACTTTGGAGGGAGATCGAGTAACAGGCCAAGTTCATCCAGCAGCAGTCGAAGTGTTAACTTTTCACATTCTGAGAGTGAAGATGCTGATTCTCAAAGCAGGAATCCAACCTCACTGAAATCTGAAATAAGATCAGAATTGAAAGTGCCATTGCAGTCAAGAACTGGAGTGAAACGAGCAGATGAAAGTAAAACATGGGACGGAACGGAGGATGGTGAAACAGTAGCTCATTCTGCCACTGGAGCCAGCAGCACGCAGGCCAGGGTGACAAACAGAGACCAGGAATGTGTAAACAAAGAGGACCATAAACAACTTCAACAGGCTGCCAAGGGCTCCTACATGTCACAAACACAGGAGATTACACTCAAAGCCGTGGAAAAAAAGAAAACCTCCCTTAATGTCTGTCTCACACCTGAGGCAGAAATCAGACCTTGGGCTTCTTCCCCAGATATAAAAGAGGGTAGTCTAGACACTAGTGTAGACGAGAAATCAGAAGAGGAAGAAGAAAATGGGATTAATAAAGTTAAGGTCCCCATTCACAAAGTTAGAGATGTGAGGCGGCTTGTAAAAAATACATATAACCTTTCCTTCAAGGCAACTAGTGCTGTATTGCCATCAAATGGGGTTGAGGAAAGGATGGACATTTTAAATGAGGAAAGAAAGGAACAAATTCAAGAGGACAGGAGGGAAGCGATAATTGCACAGAGAGAGAGAGAGGCAAGAGAGGAGATAAAGAGGGGGAAGAGGATGGAGGAACAGAAAGAGGACGCAAAAGATCTAAAGCTGCCAACCTTATCTCCACCTCTTCAGAGGAAAGGAAGCCCTCTCGCTCGTCCACAGCCAATGCAAATACAATACAAAGCTGTTTGCTGGAAAGAAGGCAAACATAAAATACCATGTGGCAAGGACGACTCAGAGAATCAATGTGACAAACCAGATGCTTCTCAAGAGCTCATCGCAAAGGTAAGCAGACAATCCCCTTCGAATGCTAACACAAAAATGTACACCACAGAAAATAAAGTAATTGCAAAGCCATGTCAACATGGTCCAAACATGGCAGAAGCAACACAAGAGACTATGACACAAATCCATAAAGTGCAAGGGGATGAGAACAAACCTGCGATGGTTAGAACAGACAGGAAACCTCCCATGCTCGGGAGCCTCCCCAAAATGGCCAGTAAGGAGAGAGAGGTTTCCACTGCTGTAGTATTAATAAGGGATGGATCCAGCCAAACCAAAACATCTGCATCTCCAGCTGGGGAAGAGAAGCCCACGCCGCTCCAAGCCCCAGCTGCTTCACTTTCACCTGGGCCCGCTAACACAGGTAGCAGTGGGCACTCAGTTTCCATGTTATTAAAGGAAAAAGGCTTCCATGCTGACATTGGAGCAGTAGTGGGTGACAACCAGAATGCACCTGGAGATAAAGGGGTTCCCCGTAAGCATGTGAACAGCCTAGAGGTCCCTCTTCAGACCACCGCTCCTTCAGATGGTGGTCGGATCGAGTCTCATAGAGAGAGGACGTTCTCCTCCTCATCAACCACATCTGGGCCCTCAGTAGAATCTGACAACACAGACACAATTACAAGAACCAGAGAAAATGAGATAATAAGCAGTAAGCCTATGGTGAAAGACACTGCAAAGCAAAAAACTGCTCCTCCATTGAGGAATATGCAGGAGCAAACATCTCCCGCCAAAGCAAAGGAACATGGAGATTTTGAAGCAGTGAAAAGACAAGATCCAACTTTCCCCCCAAGGTCACCTGGAGTAAGAAGATTTAGACCGCAACCAATTGAGGTTAAGTCCCTGTCTAAAGAAACACAGAAACAAGAGACGCCCACAAACTCTACAGGAAACAGCAGGCCTCAAGCCATTGAAGTTAAATCTATAGCTAAAAATTCTCAAAAGCCAGTGGTGCCTCCAAAACCAAGCTGCAAGTTTATACCTGCAGATTTAGGAGCAATGCCAAATCAAGCACAGAGACCATCAGTAACAACCTCTACTGTCAAACCATATGGCGAGGAGAGGCCTCAAACAATTGTTGTGTCCTCACCAACAATCTATAGAAAGATATCCAATGACTCAACATCAACATCAAACTATTCGAGAAAACTTGCTGTGTCTGCAGTTTCCAGCCTCAAACCTCCACCTTGCAAAGCAACAGCAACCACCATCTCCAATCCCTCAAACCCGTCAACAACCACATCCGAGACAGAGGCATCCAACGACAAAGGTCAGCAGCAAAAGCCAGGGGCGTTGCCTCAGAACTCTAGATATACGCAAAGACCGACAACATTTGCTACAGCTCCAATATCAGCCACAGGGCCAGTTTTAACCTCAGGTCCAGGTCCAGTGTCTGACCCACAAGTTAACCCTGTCAATGTCCGTGACTCAGCTGGAGCCAACCAGCCAACACAGCCAGCTGTTATGGAGCCAGAAAGCCAACCCCAGTATCCCAGGACGGCATACCCTAATGAACAATCTATGCCAGTAACTTCAAACAATACAAAATATCCCGCTGCTGGTTCAACACAAGTGCCAGGATACATGCACCAGCCGTACCGCAGATCGCTGTCCAGAGAGCGCTCCCAATGGACAGATGACCTGCGTTTTTATGCCTCAGATGACCCGCCAAGCTACGATGAAAGAGAGAGCTTCAGTCCCCTCTTGCTCCCAGATCTGACAGCAAAGAGGTCAAATCGCTATCAGCCCGCCTCCCGCCCCCCTCCCTGCTCCTGCACAGCTGGCTGCCCTTCCCACCCTGGTCTCACCTCTTCTCACCATCACCACAGCCCCCATACCCACACTCCTCCAGCTGCTCCACACTCTCCAGGCCAGGCACTACCTTACCAAGTGGCTCAGCCTCCGCCCCGCCCCCATCAGTGCAGACCTGACCCTCAGCAGATGAGCTACCAGCGCGGCTCTCCTAAAGCAAGTCCCCTTGGTCCAAGCCAGCCCCCCACCATGTACCAGCCTCTCCTCCAGCCTCCTCCTTGCCCACCCCATCCATCACTTATGCAGACCTGCCCTGCTGTGCCCACCCAGCATATTGACCCTCGAAGACCCCCTGTACACAGATCCCCTCAGCAACAGCCACCTGGCATGGCTGGGGCTCCTTACAGTGATCCTGGCCACAACCACTCTCCTGGCCTTCCTCCAATGGATCCCCAGTACATGTGTGGCAATCAAAGTCTGGGGCCTTCCTATGGGTCTGAATATGGGGGCGACAGCTCCAGTTTATACTCAGAGAGTAGCTATGGACAGACCCCTCGAAGAGTGCTCCTAGATCCTGAGACAGGGAAGTATTTTTACATTGAAGTGCCTGTACAGCCACTAAGGAAAATGTTGTTTGACCCTGAGACTGGCCAATATGTGGAAGTGCTCATCCCGCAGCAAGCAATGTCACATTCAGGCTTGTACCCCCCTTCAGCAGCCCCCTACACATCTCTCCACAACCCCAACATGTATGCTCCTGCTCCGCAGTACATGCCCTATGCAGCTCCTCCTCCCCAAGCCCACCCCCAGACACAGCCTCAGCCTCCCCGATATCCTGAAGCTGCATCAACAATGCACCCAGGGGGGCCTGGGGTCAGCTACAGAAATCCCTCCGGCCAGGGGCCCAAGCCAGAGCCCCAGAACCATCCACCACTTGACCAGAGCTACCTGGAGAGTATGTATTATGTCCCCACAGGGATGAATGCAAGTCCCAATCCCACCCCACCAGACTATTACCACAAACATCCCCCCAACCTACCCCCAACAGGAGGGAAAAGGTCCTGAAATAGAGGACAGAGGCCGCCTTCCTGGAGCCTGTTGGTTTTAAATACACAGTGTATAAAGGGGGGTGTCAAATGTTAGCCTGTAATGTTATTTGAGTTTTCACATTGCAACTGAAGATATTAATTATTTTGTTGTTGTGTATTTGCTGCTGCTTGTTCTGTGCTAGGCTGTTTGAATAGCACAAGATATATCATTCTTGAGTTTATAGTTTTGAAAACAAGAAAGTTAGCCTTTTCTATGAGGTGTTCTCAAGATTATTACATTTAAAATGATATTTACACTTTTTGTCACTTTTGATACATAACATCACTGGTAATGCAATGGCACTACACATCATGTTGTTAACTGATTTACTGATGTGTTATCTTTAACAGAAACATCTAAAAAAACAGTTTTAAAAGAACCTAATATTTATGTTGTTATTGTGTTTTTTGGATGATTGAGTTTGTGCACCTGATGTCTGCAATGAAAATGCCAATAAATGTTGTCACATAAGAAATGTTATGACACTTTTTTATTGATTTTGTTCTATTCCTTCATACACTAATATGTAGGTAATGCTACAAATGTAAATGTAAATTTATGTAGCTTTCATGGTACAGTTTTACAGTCTTCAAATATGTAATCAAACTCACAAACTTTATTAGAGAGTTCATTGTTTTTCAGATAAACAATGCAATCTTCAGTGGGGGAGATGGCTAAATTGCAAATAGGTGACTCTTAATGAGAATAGTGTCTCATGGGCTATGTGGACAGACACCATTCAATACACTAAAATTACACATCTGCAATATGAAAAAGGCAACAATGTGGGGTTTCTATATATGAGTTCAACAAGCTATTCATATGTATACTTCAAACTAGACCAACAGATACAGAGACTTTAGTGATAAAGGAGAAAGTCATTGCTGAATATTTACACAATAATGTATCAAATGTTAGCCAGTTGCTGCTTTGAAACCAGCTTTGCAAAAATGTTCCTTTTTTAGCTGCATCCCTTAGATGTTTCGCCCTTGGCCTTTAGAGGGTGCTGTAACTTTAAACATTGTACAATAGCAAAAATTAACAATTTTTTAAAAATAAAACTTTATATTAATCAGTGATTTTGGTACTAATCCAGTATAATTTTGTCACCTAACAAAGGGTTTTGAAATCTTGTTAATTCTCCATAAGACAGAGAAAACATTAATTTTGCTCATAAAAGATGTGTCTGCTGTGAATTTGTAGCAGCATGTTGTACTATAAACCACTGGAGGGTGCCACAGACCGCCAGAGCAGCAGAGGAAGTCCTATCCTGAATGTAAATCTAAATCTGCTCACCTCTCGTGAGAAGAGCAAGTCACTGTAAACACAGTTTAATGATTTCCTAATCAAAACCCGAGCCTGGTAACTGAAACCAGAACCCAATTTGTTCGTCCAGAGGTACAAAAGTGTTCTCCCCTTTCCTTGATGTGGATGGCAGTCAAATTAATGAGAGGTCTGACCAGTAGCTAAGAGGGGCTTTACTGTGGCTGTGCATGTGCCTGATTGAACAAAATGCTGTTTCATCTTTAAGAGGCAGCTCAAAGACCTAAAGCACCACATCTGGAGGGGATATAACACTAAGAGCACCTGGCTAAATGTCTGGTGTCTGTTTGTGGCTTATTTTTAGCCCTGGACACCTTGCCAGTCTTTATTATTAGGAATGCCTTTTGAAGTATAATAGAGATGCTGATGTGTGATGCTGATAAGAAAGTTACTGGTTTCGCACACAACAGCCAACTTGTTACTAAGCAGGACACTGAACACGTGTTTTTATGGCAAGTCATATTAGTGAGAAGAAAGGTGGCCGCTAAGTTTATCAGTTCAAACGTAGTAATTGCACAGCAACAGCAAGTCAATTGTATTTACTGTATTGTCACACAACCTGGATAAAGATTAGAGACACACCTTTCACACACTAATCTGTACTGGCACACCTAATCACTTCCAGGCAAACACACACACTTCCACACATCGTGGGCAATTTCAAAGAGGCAGCTTTATGAAGTCAAATTTGTCACACTGATGATGATCCTTTATTTATCCCCATGGGGATGTTCACTCAGTACAATACACACACATTCACCTATACACAGTAGGTCTGAATATTCAGTAGGTGTACATATAGGTGGGTGACCTATGTACATCATACAAATACATGCACGGAGAGATGTCTGAGTGAACAGGCTGCCAGTTTGTCCGGCGGTTCGGTGCCTTGCTCAAGGGCACCCCGGCAGAGGTGAACTGGCACCTCTCCAGCAATCAGAAATTGGTCCACACTCTATTATTTTTGGTCAGATCGGGACGTGAACCGGCGACCCATCCGTTCCAAGGCCTACAGGCTGCAGGCCTACAGGCTGAGCCACTCATTTAGTCATATGCTTACTTCGGGAGAAATAGCATTTCAGCTAAAACCTCACTTTTTAAACGTTTTGGGACTCAAACTTGCTGTTGTTAAAAGCGGCCTTTATTCACTTCCATTCATCAAGAATTTGTTCAATTGTTTTGTTGTGCATGTTTTGAAAGTTTATTTTATGAATTCAAGGTAATATGGGGTGCATAATTGATGTATAAATAGTGATTTCTGGGTGAAAAAAATACAACACGTGTTTCTGCTTTAAATGAGAGAAATATATTAAACACATTTAAAAATATACCTTTTTCCTATTGATAATTGACCATTGATTAACATTTTCCAGACACATCCTCCCCATCGTGTGGGACTATGGTGAATTCCTATCATACGAACACACTAAACAGACTCCATGACATCATTTGGAGGGCTCTTTCCAGTACGTCTGTTATTGTTATGGTTCTGTGACCACTTTTCTACCCCACAATGTGAGGACACACACTCTGTGGGGTTCCTATCATCTCTACCGCACCCAAGTGAGTGGGTGGGTTTGACTCAGGAACCACGTTTGAAGTTTTTACCCATTGGGGGGCTGATTGGTTGATGGAAAAGTCCTCTCTACATTGTCTTTCTAGTGTCAGGATCATAGAAAAAAGTGGGTGGCATGGGCCAGGCTGCTAGATAATGGGAAGAGTTTAAACTGATGATAAGTAGGTTGTGTGGAATAAAATAGTGCTTCCTGACATTTTCCAGCGAGCGACCTCTGATTGCACAGTCAGCGATAGATTTAAATTTTTTACAAAAGTGAACATTTTAACTAATGATGACTGTATCTCCGACTCACTTTGTTTTTCAGTCAGTCCGTCCATGACTGCCTGTATGTGTGATGTATCGATCACTGGGAGAAACCAGATCATGAAGTGAATGTCTGATCCCTGGCAGACATTGATATTAGTCACTTCTGTCTGGCTGCAAAGCTTTATTATGAGCATAGATTGGTGAGACTTAGCTAGGAAAGGTCACGACACAGATACGATCATATTTTACAAATTCCTTGATTTATAATACCTGTGTCTACTTATGTCACTTATTGTGTGCATTTAAATGGTGAGCAGTTCCACTTGAGGGCAATTTTCACAACTCTTGTTTTTAATTTGAATATTTGTAACTAACCAAAAAATGTACAAATGTGCAGCATTCAACTACAGAAAAGATAAAGGAAAAGTCAGAAAGGATTGAAGCACCTTGCCCATCCTTTATTGGATGGACCCTATTCCCTGTTTGGAAACCATTACCTTACACAGTTTTTTTTATATGCAACTGACTTACTGACTTTTACCCTAAAGAAAAATGTGCTGAAATATGTATCCCTGAAAATATTTTTAATAAAACATTACAGCAGGTCATTTGTTATTGTTGTTTTTGTGTCATGTGTCTTTTTGGATGTTTTTGTGTTGGGTTTGGTTATTTTTTCTTTCAAATATTCCTCATCTTCTCGTATATATTTTTACCCTGAGATGATAGCTTATGTTCATGTGCTGTCTGATACATTTGGGGAAATATTTAAGTGTTTTAAAAAAGCACGAGTGTACGGTTTTCCTCCCCCTATTAAATGTCAACCATTATCAACAGTTTCGCCTTAGCTCTAAATACCTTTATTTCCTGATGTCACTTTGACCATTTTTAACAAGGCCATTAAAGGGAGACACTTTAAGAAACGCTGATATACAAGAGAGTGCAAATACATTCACTCACCTTTATCTCAAAGGTTGCCTTACCTGCGAGCTCAGGTACATGCCCATATAAGGGCTTTTTCCTCCAGGAGGATGTGGGCGGGGTTACTACCAGCCAGTGTGCGGATTGTGAAAGCGAATGAATGAAGCAAGAAGAGCGGCAATAAGAAAAGGGGGGCCAGCCAAACGTGAGACGCCGGTGAACATTTTAAACCGAGACTTCCGGCATTCCGCTTGTTATGTAGCAACCACGGAGCATAATAATGACTCCGCGTGTGTCACAGAAGGCCTTCTCTCCACCAGGTGGGGTGCCTACCTGTCTGACTGTGCAGATTTCACGTCATCTCCTGTGATTGCTTCAGCCCAATCTCCGGTAATAAAACAAATCAGCAAGAAATTATTAAACTTTGCATGACTGAACTGTACAATATAGGCCTACGTCTCCAATAATGATTTTTGGCAGACCCAGACAAGCTCAACATTATATGTTTGGTATTACATTAACATTAAGAAAATAATTTACATCAGTAAACAACTCCCTGTCCTCACCTCAACTCTTTAGAGATAATTAACAAAAAATTAAAATAATCATATATGAAGATAACATATTAATAATTGAAATCCTAATTTTAATAAGAGAAATCGTACAAATAGAAATTACTTATTGGTGTGTTTATCAATCTTAATCTATAATTGCAGCCTGGTCACTTTCCAGGAATTGCATAAAAGTATCCCATACTTCTTTAAATGTAGGCGTTTTGCCACTAACCACATTCATTTCTCCAAAGCCATTTCCTGTAACACATTGCAGGTGTAGGGTCGTCCGTCTGCTTTTTCTGTTGATATGAGCTACAATGTAAACGGACAAAAATGTATCTGTAAAGAGATGTTTTCAGTTATAGTGGAATTCGTTAGTCTAGACGAGTCTATTCCCTCTGGTGTCCCAGGACCCCTCATGTCTAGGAAGGAATTTGTTAGTTAAAGTATGAGTCTAGCCGTGTGTTCAGGACTAGACTACTAGACTAGAGCCCACACACACACACAATCACACACACACACACTCTCGCTGAGGTTGAGGTAGCCAGAAAATGATGTCATAGCCTGATCACTTTACCCGTCCTCTTCTTCCTCCTCTTCCTCCCAGGGCCTGCATGGCAGATCAATGAGGAATGGAAGGAATGAGCAGAGAGAGACCGAGTGCATGTGTGTGTAAGTGGCTGCTGAGAGAGAGAGAGGTGAGTTATTGACAGACAGGAACAAGCTGTTCGCTGCGCCGTCCTGAATCACTCACAGCTGATGACATGTCTAAATTCTTATTGATACCATGCCATGTCAGCCTCTCGCTACACTGTTTCTCAAAGCTGTACATATTGAGTTGGACGGTGACCATAA